GCTATCTTTGACATAAAGTAAAGCAAGTCTCTTCCAAAATCATGGAATTTCAGATTTAGAAGGGATGTCAGTGTGTCTTTAGTCTGACCCATATCCAAAACAATAAATTCCCATTACAATACACATTGTATATTGTAATATACAATATACACCCACCCCTTGCTCAAAGTTCTCGTAATGGAGGAACCTACCTTCCCTCAAAGCAATCTATTCCACTCTTGGACAACTTTAACCTTTAAGAGTTTTACCTGGCATCAAGCTTAAATTTGCCTCTTGGTAACTTCTATCTAGTGCTCCTGGTTCTTCTCTCTAAGGGCAAACAGAACAAATCAAATCTCTTCTCCACATGACAGCCCTTCAAATATTTGAAGGCAACTATCATGAGCCCTGTAAATCTTCTTTTCTCCAGACTAAGCATTTCTAGTTCTTTCACCCTATCCTCATGTGTCGTATTCCTTATTCTCCTCACTATCCTATCTCTTCTCTTCTGTATCTTAAGTGCATCCTAAAAGGTGAAATGTACCCAGGACAGAACCCAGTGTTCCAAAGGTGGTCTAATCAGTGCAGAGTATAATAAAACCATTACCTCCTTTGCTCTGGAGACTAGGACTTTCAGTGCTACCTAACTTTATTGTTTCCATGCCGTTGACTCATTATGAGCTTACAGGCCATGCCTACACCCCAGATGTTTTTCATAGAAACTGTTATGATAACCATGACTCCTCCATCCTAGGCTCTCAATTTTTATTATGAAAAACATTAATGTAGTATAGGTATACATGAATGGAAAGGAAAACTTAATTGCCAGAAAGTAGCCATGGTAAAAATCAATTTCAAAATGTGTTTCCTCCTCCTGTATGCTTTGTACACAATGTACAGTTCTATTCTGGGAAACAAAATTGTTTTGCCTTCTTACAAAAGATGAACCAATGTATTCATGATGAGTTAGTTTATGATCTACAAAAGAAAATTAGCTTCATTGACTTACTGTGCGTTTTTTTTTTCATTCATTGGACAAATACATGGGAGCATAGTATGCATAAAATACCGTGTTAACGTCTATGGGAAGGCAAGATAAATAAAACACTATATGTCCTCTAAGAATTTATGATTCTTCCAGGCACCCAGGTTCAAAACTCTTGAGTCTTTCTTAATTCTTCAATCTCCTTCACCCTACTTCCAATTACTTGACAAATCTTGCTGATTCTGTCTCCCAAATATCTCTCTGTCTCCCAGACACTCCACTCACAACACAACTACCCTAGTTCAAATTCAACTCCTCATTAACTCTTTCTTTCACTGTTGTAATAGTCTCCTATTTGAATTTCCCACTTTCAGTCTCCACCCTTTCCAATCCATATTCTACACAACTCTCAAAATAATCCTCATAAAACAAGATAGAGTGGGAAATAATAACTAATATTTATATAGTGTTTTAAAGTTTAAAAATGCTTTTCAGATATTTCATTTGATCCTCACATCAACTCTGTGAGGTACATGCTATTGTTATTCCCATTTTACATATGATAAAACTGAGGCTGACAGAGGTTAAGCAACTTACAGTCACACAGCTATAATTGTCTGAGCAGGAGCCAAAGTCAGATCTTCCTCTCTCCAAGTCCAGTGCTCTGTGTCACCTGACTGCCTGGGTTCAAGCCTGAGCTTCTCTACTTATTACCTGTGTTTCCTCAGGCAAGTCACTTCAGTTTTTTGGACCTCAGTTTTCTGACCTGTAAAATGAGAGCCTTGACAACCCATAGGGTCTGTTCCAGTTCTAAATCCATGATGCTATGTTACCCCATTGCCCAAGAAACTTTGGTGGTTCGCTATTGCTGCTCTGATAAAGTACTTCATTTGGCATTCAAAAGCCTTCACAATTTGGATCCAGTCTACTTTTGCTGACTTATGCTATTTTTATCTTCACGTACGCTACATAAGAAGCCAAGCTGGCTAACTTTCTGTTGTCTGTACATGACATTCTATCTCTCACCTTCATGCCTTTGCAGGGCTGTCCACCATACTTGGAATGCTCTTTTTTACTGTCTCCCTCTCTTAGGCACTTTTGGTTCTTTCAAGAATCAACTCAGAAAGCATCTCCTATAAGTAGAGTTTCCTAATCCCCAAAGTTATTAGTGTTCTTCCTATCTCCCCTCAAATTATCATATACATGTGTGTATATGTATATACACACATATGTATGTATGTATATACACACATACGTATGTATGTATGTATATACACACACACATAAACTCCTTACATTCTCCCACCACCTCCCCAGTAAAATGTAAGCAACTTACAGGAAGAGACTATTAAATTTGTTTTTCTTTATGTCCCTCACTTAATAAGTGCTTTGTTTGTTTTTACTTTATTGAGATGAAGAATACAGAAATAACAGCACTATAAAAGGGTATGAAAAGTATAAAACCATGGAGATTCAGGGAAGGATTTTTAGCTTGATTATCCTCATTATTTAGCAGATTTAGTACCAAATAGTTTTTGTCATTTTGCAAAAATGAACTCTTCAAAAGATGAAGGTTTAACACCATTGAAGTTATTAAAGATAACTTGAAAGATAATTCCTTCAGAGGAGTTCCAAAAAGGTTCTATCCAATGTCTGCATTATTAGATGCATTATTTAATGTTCTAGGATGACCACTATGAAGGGAACAACACTTATTTGGGCTATAATTTGTTGTTTGGGGCATATTTGCCATTAACCACTTTTACATCATAATTAATACCTTGTTTATCAGCTTAGATTTCACATCACAATCTTTAAGATATAATCAGGAGGAGTCATCACACTCTGAGAGTACTTTTGGCATGGCCTACCTCCTCCTCCTCTCACAGAAGAACCCCCATGGACTTATTTCTTAATTCTTAATGAGTAAAAGTAAGAAAAAATGTAGAGTTGGTAATATTTTGAATAAATGGATGGCTTTCAGACTAACCTTAACCCAGTATATTTCAAAAACTTTTTTTTTTCTGGAATTGGTTATTTATTCTCACAGGAAGAAAAAAAAAATGAACTTCATCCTACGTCCTCCTCCTCCACCCTAGAGCCCTGCCAAAGAAATGGTACTTTGTTGCCTCTGATTTATTTTTGTTCATCTTCTAAAACGACTTAGGAGGAAAAGATATTCTCTCTTTCTCAGAAAACCTTAGTGACACTGCAGAATGAAGAAGGTTGAATTTTTTCAAAATATTAAAAACATGATCCAGGGCCACAACACAGGAGATATAATTAGCTAACTCCTGATTGACACGATTATTTGAAGACTGGAGAACTTTTACCTTGAGCATTTGTAGGGGCAAAGAAGAAGGGGGATGAAAATTAATACTTTAAGTGTTAACTGTCTTCAAGATAAATATAATTGTCAGTGTCTCCAGGCTTTCAGTTCCCTCCTCTTTCCACACCTCCTCCTTCCCCTCCTGTTCACTTTTCACTGCTTGCTCTCAGTGCTAGAAGGCTGGTTGACTACAGAGCAGGGCTCCACAGAACATCACTGTCAAAAGCCAGGCTGGAGGCGGTAAAGCTGCCCGAACAACTGGAACGTGGAGGTAGGCAAGAGAAGCTTTGAAGGCAAAGGCTCGATTTATAGGCAGGGGCCCTGTGTCACGCCTCCTTGGTCATCGAAGTCATTGCCCACATATCCTCTCCTCATGACAGGCGCTGAGAGGGACGAATGAAGTCTCAGTAACAGATCAGAGCAGATTCCTCCAAAGCAGCAGCTGCTGTGCCCAGCCCAGATGTGCAGCAGAGCAGCGGCTAACGGGAGCGCCGGTAAGTAACAAGGAGACATCCCTCTTTATAGGTCAGGCCCCTAGAGCGGTACCAACAAAACAAAACATCCCAGGCACCGAATTAGTCTTTCATTTTGCGGAGCGGAGTTCCTCTCTGCCTTTTACTAAGGCTTGGTCCTTCTTTAAACTGCCTTGGGCACCCAACTCTGTTTATTGATTCTTCTGCTTTCATTTATCCGGAGAGCGAGTTCTTTCAGTCTCTGGACAACTCCTAGGGAAGCTCATCCGGTAACTTTTAGGGGAATGCCAGTGACCACAGGTAAAGACCCCCCTGGCCCCAGTCTAAGGGGACTGCACGAGTTATTCACTGGAAACCCCAAGTTACTAGCGGCTTCCCAGGTGGGAAAGAGACTATGCTCTCACGAAACTGTCGGTATTTCGCAAGCAGGGGTCAAGAAACAGGAGAGGAAAAGTAGATTAGAATTGGATTGAACTAGTAATTGAATTAACCTGCCTAATAGTGCCTACCCCATCCACTGCCCTCTCCCCTCCACTTTCCAGAAAGCATTTTTTTTTTGTTACAACCCAAAACAGAACAAACCAGAAATCTACTAGCTGGAAAGGGCTTCAAGGAAAGGCCGGTTCTTACCCTCTTTTTAGGGCACTGGAAGGAAAGCGAAGAGCAGCCCCACACTCCCACCTCCATCCCACCCCCGCCCCTTACTTTTCCTGCATCTCTCCACCTCCAGCTTCCCTCCACCTCCCCAGCCCCACCCGAGTTGTCGAGTCAATTCACACGCGTTTGTCACTCCTCTTAAAGGCAGGTCCTCCCTGGTAGGTTGGGAAGGATCAGTCACAGAAGATGGGCGTAGGGACGGGACGGACCTGGCATTAAACGAAATCTTTATTTAAAAAAAAAAAAAATCTAGCCCTGGCATGCGGCCCGTATTCTGACTTGCCCGATTCTCCTTTAGGTGATTCCTCCTTTCTGTCCACTCTGACTCTTGGCCCCCTCTAGGCTGGCATTCTTAGATTCCCCCTGGTTGTGTGCATTTGTCTCCTAAGAGGGAAAGCAAGTGGAGGGGGTGGAGAGGAAAGCCTAGCAAGCAGGAAGCTGCTTGTCTCCCCTCCTGGCGGTTCCTCAAGCACCCGCTGCCAGTTTGCTGGGAGCCACCGCCACGCATCCCCCGCCTCCCACCGGGGCCCGCTCTGCTCCTCAAACTCTGTCATGTCCACAGGACCAGGTGGCAAGGATGGAGGCTCCTTTCAGCTGCAGGTCCCCAGCTTCCGGGACAGCCAATGAGACGCCGCGTAGCAGCGGCTCGCTGATCTCCCTAGACTCCAGCGTCTTCTGCAGCGAGGGAGAAGGAGAGCCCTTGGCTCTGGGGGACAGCTTCACCGTCAACGTGGGCGGCAGCCGCTTTGTCCTGTCCCAGCAAGCGCTGTCCTGCTTCCCGCACACGCGGCTGGGCAAGCTGGCCGTGGTGGTGGCATCCTGCCGCCACCCCGGCACCCTGGCCGCCGCCTCCAGCACCCTAGAGCTCTGCGACGACGCCAACCTGGTGGACAATGAGTACTTCTTCGACAGGAGCTCTCAAGCTTTCCGATACATCCTACACTACTACCGCACTGGCCGGCTGCACGTCATGGAGCAGCTGTGCGCGCTCTCCTTCCTACAGGAGATCCAGTACTGGGGCATCGACGAGCTGAGCATCGACTCCTGCTGTAGAGACAGGTATTCTACGGAGAAGGGGCAAGCGCCCCGCGTGGGCCTAAGAATGCCAAGAAAGGAGAGACTAGTGGGTGTCTCACAATGTATTTACCAGCATAGCTGAGGACACTTTGGAGAAGGGGGGTTATCAGTAGGGGTAAAACGAGAACTATAGTATTTGTGGAGCCCTGCCGGCTTGGTTTGTCTTTAAGTTTGGTAGGCATTTTAGAGAATTGGAAGGAGGAGTCGGATGAAATGAATGCCGCCTGTGAGACTATGTGATTTTGCCCAAGTTATGTAACTTCTCTGGGTCTCAGTTTCCTCACCAGCAAAATGAAAGGGCTGGATTTGATGGTCTCTGGGGTTCCTTCCAACTCAAGATCTAGGATCACTCTAAATTAGAAGTAGAGGGCAAGGATAGGTGAGAGAAATCTTTCAACAGGTGCTCCTAATTTTTGATATCTGATTTTGTACTGTACTATTTTCATTAGTTAAAATAGGAAGGATTGAATTTGGAATTAAAAATAAAATTGAGCAACAAAAAATAAAATAAATTGGGGAGGACTGAATATGAAAAACTTGGGGTAGGGGGACTGAGCACCAAGAGGTCATTTCAGAATGATCTGAAAGACGGAAAGTCAGTTTCTAGACAATGAAAAAGTAAAGGATTTTGGTGACCACTTTGCAAATAATAGCACATAGTTTACATATTTGGGGACTTAAAAACTTTCCTCATATCAGTCCTGTGAAAGAGGCAGTAAAATTAGTTATCTCCATTTTACAGATAAGGATGCTGGGTAAGAGTGAAGTGACCTGCACAGTCATATGGCAAGTGAGGTGAAATAATAAATTTGATCCTATCTTCACACACACACACACACACACACACACACACACACATTTACTTTGACTCATTTGATCTTTATAACAAGTCTGGGAGGTCCATAATATTACCCACATGTTACAGAGAAGGAAACTCAGATCAGGCTCACACTTACAGTTTCTAAGATGGGATATCAGTCTACAGTTTCTAAATGTGGAGTCTGGGGACCTGGGGTCAGCACTGGCTTTAACCCAATGTAACTATGGACCAGTCATCCAATGTCTCCAGGCCTCAGTTTCCTTCTTTTTAACATGGTGATAATACCTTATACCACCTATTTTGCAATGTTGTAGTGAGAAAAGCACTTTGTAATTTAAGTGATATAAATATAAAAATTTATGATTAAATTCCATTTGACAAATGTTGATTAAGCATCTGCTATTTAAAAGACACCATTAGCCTCTGGGTATACATAAATGAATCCGACACAGATATTGCTCCAAAAGAACTAACAATCTAATGGTAGAAAGGAAAAGTACACAAATAGCCATGATACAAAGGCAATTACTAAAAACAAGATACAGTGAGGAGAGAAAAGCTTCAAACATAGTTGGGGGAGGATTAAGGAGCAAAGTATCACTTCTATCACTAAAGGATGGGAAAGTGGGCAGGGAAAGCTGTAGATTGTGGATTTCTTTGAATGCCTAGATCAGAAGATTTTACTTTATTTGGTAAGTAATAGGAAATTACTGAAGATTTCTTAGAAGAATGACATAATCAGAACAGTACATTAGGAAAATTACTAAGGTCAGAGTGTGAAGGATAGATTGTAGGGCAATTGACTAGAAATAGTAAGGCCAATTATTACACTCCATATTTCAATATGGATTCCATTTTGGGGACATCATTTTTATTTATCCCCTATTCACTAATACTGGTGCATCCAATTTATTCCACGCCCTCCTCTCTTCTTACCAAGATGGTCAAAGTGTTATAAACTAATATATGATATTATATACTAATAGATTCTAATGTTCTAAATGAAAGAAAAATCAGGACTGAGATCATCTGGAATAGAAAGGAGGGGATAAACACAAGAGATGTATCAAAGTAGAATCAACAGTGTTGGGTAATAACTATGTGGGGTGATTGAGAGAGGAAAAAGTCAAAGTCATGAACCTGGGTAAATGGGAAGATGATATTATTCATGTTGCATTTTACTAACTCAAATAATCAAATAATCCTTTTCTTCTAACAAGAACATTATTTTCTTTCTGACTGTCTTCTTATAAGAAAAAAGATTTATATATATATGTATATATATGTATGTGTGTGTGTTTATACATATATATATATATGTATAAACCTTGCCTTCAAAGCACTATAGTTTATCAAAGAGAAAACATGTACACATATAATAACTATACTAAAATGGTGGCAGGATGGGTGGAAGGTACTAGCAGCCGGAAAGATCAGGAAAGGCTTCAAGAAGGAATAGCATTTGAGCTAAGCTCTGAAGGAAAGTAGAGATTCTAAGTGGCAGAGGTGAGAAGGAAGTGCATTCAGGTATCGAAGATGACACTTTACTGATTCTTTTTGTAAGTCCAATATCTCTCCTCCACTTCATGATTAAATAATAATAATAAGTATTATAATCATTTTGGCAAGGCAATGGGATTAAGTGACTTACCCAGAGTCACACAGCTAGTAAGTGTCAAGTGTCTGAGGTAGATTTGAACTTAAGTCTTCCTGATTCCAGGGCTGGTGGTTTATCAACTGCACCACCTAGCTGCCCATATGATTAAATTCTTTCTGAAGGCCCTCTAGTCTACAAATGGGGCCATCACTTCCTTTCCTCTCATTCTTTTCTTAACTATGTAAGGTTCTGACCTCATCATTCAACTGAAACTGCTCTCTCCAATGAACTTTTAATTGCCAAATCTAATGGCTTTTTTTTCACTCCTTATCCTTCTTGATCTCTCTTCAGTCTTTGATACTATCAATCATCTTCTTCTTAATATGCTCTTCTTTCTAGGTTTTTCTGGAACTTTTTTGGGGGGGTGAGGTCATTGGGGTTAAGTGACTTGCCCAGAGTCACACAGCTAGTGAGTGTTATGTGTCTGAGGTTAGATCTGAACTCAGATCCTCCTGACTCCAGGACCAGTGCTCTATCTACTGTGCCACTTAGCTGCCCCTAAATGAACTAATTTTCTGAAGAACCTATAACTGGATCTAAGTTGTTGGATTTGTTTGTTTGTTTATTTGTTTTTTGCTTTTTGGTGAGGATTAAGTGACTTGCCCAGGGTCACACAGCTAGTAAGTGTCAAATGTCTGAAGTCGGATTTGAATTCAGATCCTCCTGACTCCAGGGCAGGAGAGCTATCCACTTCACCACCTAGCTACCGCTTCTAGAACTATTCTTTCCAGGTTCTTCTGCCAGACAGTATGTTCCTTCTCAGCTCAACCTTTGCAAGATCATGATCTAGGTTAGAACCACTAGTAGTAGGCATCCCCCAGGCCTCTATCCTGGGCCCTCTTCTCTCCTCCTTCTATACTATATTACTTGTTAATCTCAACTCTCATGGATTAAATGATTATCTCTATGCTGATAAATATCAAATCTATTTACTCAGACCTAATCTTTCTGATAACCTCCAATCTTACATCTCCAACTGCCTATTGAGTATCTCTAGCTGGGTGTCACATAAATGTCTCAAATGCAACATGTACAAAAGTCAACTCATTTGTTTTCCCCAAAACCCTCCCTTCTTCCTAATTTAACTACTATTATTGAGGGCACCACCATCCTCCTAGTCACCCAATTTTACAACCTAGGTTTCATACTCTATTTCTTTTTTTTTTAAGGCAATTAGGGTTAAGTGACTTGCCCAGGGTCACACACCTAGTAAGTGTCAAGTGTTTGGTCTGAGGTCACATTTGAACTCAGGTCCTCCTGACTTCAGGGCCAGTGCTGTATCCACTGTGCCACCTAGCTGGCCCTCGTACTCTATTTCTGACACTTTCTCACACCACATCTAGAATTTGTTTCCAAGTCCTCTTTAAAAAATTTCTCATTTATTACCCCTCCTCTTCTCTGACACTACCACCACCCTATTAAGGTCTTTTATCACCTCACACTTGAACTATTGCAGTAGACTTTGGGATTGACCTCCCCATCTCAAGTTTCTCTCTGATCACATCAGACCCCATTCAGCTATCAAAGCAATTTTTCTTAAAATACCATATGACCATATGACCCAAACCAATATTCATTAAACTAAGGTGACTCTTATTACCTCCAGGATCAAGTATAAAATCATCTCTTTGGTTTTTAAAGCCCTTTATATCCTGGCCTCTTTGTACTTTTCTAGTCTTCCCTTCATGTACTCCACAATCTACTGACTCGATCTTTGACAATCCTTATACAAGACACTAGATCTCATGACTCCATCTGTGTATTTTCACTAGCTGTCACACACGCCTGGAATTCTCTCCTTCCTCACCTCCACCTCCTGGTTTTCTTGGCTTCCTTTAAGCCTCAGCCAAAATCCCACATTCTAAAAGAAGTCTTTGGGGGGCTGCTAGGTGGTGCAGTGGATAGAGCCCAGACCCTGAAGTCAAGAGGACCTGAGTTCAAATTCAGCCTCAGACCAAACACTTAACACTTACTAGCTGTGTGACCCTGGGCAAGTCACCTAACCCTGATTGCCTAAAAAAAAAGTCTTTCCAGGTCCTCCTTAATATTAGTACCTTCTCTCAAAGTTTATTTCCAAACTATCATATATATATATATATATAATATACACATGTGTATACATATATATATCCTATTGATACACATATATATTTCTATACATATATGTGCACATGTATAGATGTGTGTGTACACAACTAGTGTCTATCACATGGTAGATTGCTTAGTAACTATTTGCTGCATTAACTAGATCAAAGGTGCAAACACATGACTCTCAGACCATATGTGGCCCACATCACTCCTAAATAGACCCAAACCAGAATAAAATGTCATTGAGAAATATTTAACAAAATGAAAAAAATACAATAAAATGTAGATTACATTACATTTTAAAACTAAATCATTATGCAATGCTCAGAGATCTTTATGTATAGATCAATGCCCCCTTTTTCTATTTAAGTTTGACAGCATTGAATAAGTTGACCACTAAGGTCCCTTCCAACTTTCAAATGCACAGTACCAGAAGTAAAATTAAAACTCATATTCTTTGTTCTGCTCTTATTCTCCTTGACCTCTCTGCAGCATTTGATACTATTGACCTCTTTCTTGGTACTCCTTCCCTTTGGCTTCCATTATACTGCATTCTCATGGTTCTCCTTTCTGACTGCTTCTTTTCTTTCTCTTTTGTTTCAGCCTTATCCTTCTCCCACTTTTCATACTGAAGTCCCCTAATGTCCTATCCTTATATCTATTCTTTCTATATATTCTCTCCTCTATTTGTATCATTCACTCCCATGATATCAGTGATCATTTCTAAGAAAATAACCCCCATTTTTATATTTCCACCTTTACCTTTCTTCTCTAGAGTCCCATATTTCTAATTGCCGATTGAATATGTTCACCCAAAGCTACTAAATGATAGAACTGATATTCAAGATTTCCAATTGCAGGTCCAAATGGTCTTTTTTTTTTTCTTTTTAGGCAATTGGGGTTAAGTGACTTGCCCAGGGTCACACCGCTAGTAAGTGTCAAGTGTTTGGTCTGAGGCCGGATTTGAACTCAGGTCCTCCTGACTTCAGGGCCAGTGCTGTATCCACTGTGCCACCTAGCTTCCCCCCCCAATTGTCTTTCTACTACTATGGTAGTAGTACTTAAAGTGCTTAAGTACTTCAAGTACTTAAGTACTACTTTAAAAAGTGTCCTTAGTATTAAGGCCATTATTTTTAATAAAAGTTCTAATAATCATATTATTCTTTTGGAAAGGTACTTGAAAAGGAAGGAGTTGAGTGAGACCTTAGACTTCAAGGATGATACTGAAGACCAGGAGAGTCAGCAAGAGAGTGACCAGGACTTTTCTCAAGGTCTCTGCCCTACTACCCGACAGAAGCTCTGGGACATTCTGGAAAAACCAGGGTCTTCCACTGCTGCCAGGATCTTTGGAATCATCTCCATCATCTTTGTGGTCGTGTCCATTGCCAACATGGCCCTTATGTCATCTGAGCCAAGCTGGCTGGACATGCAGCTATTGGAGGCCCTGGAGTACCTGTGTATTACTTGGTTCACAGGGGAGTTTGCTCTGCGCTTACTCTGTGTGAGGAATAGGTGTGGCTTCTTAAGAAAAGTAGCAAACATCATTGACCTCCTGGCCATCCTCCCCTTCTATATCACTCTGTTGGTGGAGAGCCTGAGTGAAGGTGAGACCACACAAGAGCTGGAAAACGTGGGGCGCATCGTGCAGGTTTTGAGGCTGCTCAGGGCTCTGCGAATGCTAAAACTGGGCAGACATTCAACAGGTATTCACACTTCATTGATGCTTTTTAAAACTACCATGGGTTTTAAGTGCTTGAAACAATCGTAAAAATGAAAAAGAAAATGTATTCTGTACCTGAACAAAATATGTAGCATTCCAGTGGACATGTATTCCCTCTTTCCTGAGGCCCTGATGTAGTGATAGCTGTCATATTTAATCAATCAACAAGCATTTATTAAGCATCTATTTTGTGCAAGGCCCTCTGTTAGGCCCCAGAGCACAAACACAAAAATGAAACAATCTTGTCCCTCACTCACCCTCACAAAGCTTACATTCCACAGGGGAAAGCAACATATACAATGTCTGCCAATCCTAAATCATTTACTAATCACATGCTATGAGCTAGGTACTATGCTCAGCACTTAAATGAAGACAAGGATGAAAATGAAATGCTCACTTAATCCAAGGAGTTTTCACTCTATGAGGGGAAACAACATGATAATGTAAAAATATATACAAAATAGATAATAAAGTAATTCTTGGGTGGGAAGGCATTATTAGATGGGAGGATAAGGAAAGGTAATATAGAAGGTAACACAAATTGAAATTTTTAATCAAAGAATTAAATTTAAAGGACTTGTAGGTGACAGTGATAAATAATGTAAACATATAAAGTTAGTACAATTTTTAAGGGTGTACATACCAAAGTTGAGAATGTAACCATCCACCTCTCTCATTTACTCTTCATAATTTTCAGAAATCCCTTTACCATTTGTCATCACATTATAAAAATAATAGGTATGGTTATGGACATATAAGAATGTATAAGCAAGTTCTCTACTTTGGGTCCAGCAGGGAGCTAGCAAAATATTCTTTTGGGCACAGAGGACAAAGAAACTTCTGATGACTCTCTCGCTTGATAGTCCACCCACATTTGGTATAAAGGGGTGTGGTCACTTCCCAACATACTTTTTTTTTTTGGTGAGGCAATTGGGGTTAAGTGACTTCCTCAGGGTCACACAGCTAGTAAGTGTCATGTGTCTGAGGCTGGATTTGAACTCAGGTCCTCCTGACTCCAAGGCTGGAGCTTTATCCACTGCGCCACCTAGCTGCCCCCCAATATACTTTCTGTAAAGGGAAAAGAAGTGTCCTGCTTAGAAGTAAAGCTATTCATTTAGCCCATCTACAAGAATGACCAGTTACATACAAACCACCCTCTAACCAAAATATATACCAGATAATAACTGTTTTAGGGCTTCACAGACACTTATTGAAATTTTCTCCATTGAGGAGAGGGAAAAATTAGATAGTAGAAAGGAGGAATAAGAGGGGAAAATCAGGGATTGGGTGGAATGAGATTATTTCCTATAGCTATAGCTTTATTGGCCAAACTGTATAGTATTGTCTGTATCTCAACGGACCTAGGGAGTTGGGGAAGATAAATTGACCCATTTTTTTTTTAACTAAAGTGGATTGATTTGGACTTTTCCTGACAATTTCATTATTGTTGTTTTCTATCTGGAGTATTTTCCCAGTTTCACATAATGTAGCCTTGATAATGGGGTTCCCAACAACTTTTAAAAGCTCTAGTCTTTGTTTTTTTGACACATATAATGGGATGCTTTCTTAGTGTATTTATAAACTCTCCCTGGGTTTTGATTTTAAAACACAGTTAAGACTACATTTTTCTAAAAACAAAACAAAAAAAAAAAAACAAGAATGGAGAAAAAGGGAAATAACAGCAATTTCACTGTCAGCTTTCTACAAAAGATTTCTAAATTCTTAGACAAGCATCATCTCCATAGATAGGTTAAGTATAAGAGCATAACTTCATGCTTAGATATAAGATGGATTCATCAGCCTCATGAAGTTTGACGTTCTTTTAAAATAAAGTTATTTAGGAAACAAAAAGGACAAAGCCTTTCCCCCTCTGCCTCCCTCCCCACACAGAGGTAATGTAGTTTAGTCCAGCTATCTAGTTTTCTTTTATTTATTTGGAAAATTAATACACTTTCAGTAAAAATGAAATATAATTATGCAAAGTAGAAAAATCACTGGGTTAGGAGTTAAGTCCCTACTCTGTCATTAACAAGCTATGTGATCTTGCAAAATTCACTTGACCTCTCTTGATTGAAGTTTCCTCCTTTGTAAAAGAAGAAAAGTTGGACTGGATGATTTCTAAAGCCCCATCAACGTCTGACATCCATGAAAAAATGACATTACTATATTGATAATTGTGCGAAGAACAGGTCTAGAAAAATAACAATATTTTCAATCTGACTATCGCTGTAAGCTGCTTAGGAGGTCTTCTAAAATTGTTAAACCTCAAATATATTATTCATTGGTCTCTAACAATAAATAGCTTCTTAATAACTCATGTCCAATTGAGGAGGCTGAATATCAGAATCTAGAGTAATGAAAGTATAAATAATACTTGAATTAATTTCAAATAGCCTTTGGTGAGTCAGATCAGGGCCACTTTGTCTTAACTCTGGCCTTATGTTGTAATGTGTATTTTGATGTAAAAAAATTGATCATTCTTTCAGAAGATCCCTATTCCCCACCCCCCATACATCAGGGGAGCTCCCTGATAAGACATTGACATTCTCCTCACTATAAGTGATTTATTTGGAGGCTTAAGCCTTCAACAGATTGGATCATCCCTTCTTTAATTCTTCCAAGGATCCTGTGAAATTATCAAAACCAGGTTCTTTCTTCCTCAAACAAATGGAATGAATGGGAAAGGTCAGCACAGCAATGAAATGGAGATCCGGCTCTTTGAATTATTGCTAGCATTTATATAGTGCTTTTGAAGGTTTGCAGAGCACTTTACACATGTTATTTCATTTGATCCTTACAACTATCCTGTACGGTAGGTGTTATTTTTATCCCCATTTGATAGATGAGGAAATTAAGAACAAGAGAGGTCAAGTGACTTGCCCAGGGTCACACAGCTAGTAAGTGTCTGAGGTAGAATTTGAACTTAGGTCTTACTGATTTCAGGCCCAGTGCTCTAAATATTGTGCCACCTAGCTGCCTATGCTTTCTTTACTGTCCCCTTAGAATAAAAGAAAGATTTCTCACTGTTAGGGGTGGGGGGTGGGGGGTGGGGATGGAATTGAGTCAGATCCAGTCATTCTGCCTAAAACCTTAGAGAGATGTTTTTTAGTAGAACTGAAATTATAGATAAGTGATAAGCAAGTGTCATAGAAGATGCCTAACACACAGTATTGTAAAAGTAAATAAAAGGCAACCTGTCAGTAAACAACATTTCCTGAGGATATACCCCACATACTATAATGAGATGAAACCCAGTTAGATGACAGATATTCCAGTTTCCTGCCCTGATAGTAAAAGCCCTAACACTCCAATGTAGTCTCCCTACTATATAAAGCTCATACCTTTGAGTTCAGGGCCATGTCCTCTTTTGGCATGTGACAGTAGAAACTCTGCCCTTCACCACAGACATTACCTAGAGCTCCATTTAGTTACTCCCCTAGGTGACCTCCTTCTTCCCCTTGACTTGTGCTGTTTGCCTCTGGACCATGGTTTTAGTGCCTGCTGTGGTAAGTGCCAATCATTCAGGACATAACACCAGGGCTATGTGTCTCAACCCTGTGCCTTAGCATCAGAGAACTCTTTCTTCTCCTTTAGTCCATAAGCTGCTGACCAAGACTGGAACTAAGTCTGGTAGCCCCACACTCAGAACGTCCTCATTGAACCCCAAGTCCCAGTAAACAGGGACTCCTGCTCCTTAAAACTGCTTTATTAGTGAAGGAAGCCTACAACTCATAAAACACATACCCCCCCCCCCACAAATGGCCATCCAGCCTTAGCTTAAAGATTCCAATGAGGTGGAAGCAACCACTTGCTGAGTCAGCTTATTCTATTTTTAATTAGCTCTAATTGTTAGGAAGTTGTTCCTGACATCTAGCCTAAACAGGTTTTTTGGCAAACTTATACTCAAGGCAGAATTACTGCCTTGTAGGACTGAAAAGATCAAGTCTCTTCCCTCTTCTCTATGACAACCTTTCGAATACTTGAGGATAGAAATCTCTTTTCTTCTACAGTTTAAACATTCCCAATTTTAATAGTAATAATAATGCTTATTATTACTATGGTAATTATACCTATCTGTACATTCTCTCCTTTACAGTTGTGTTCAATTGTTCACATGTATGTATTCCCAATGATGTCATATTCTTCTGGAACCTGGAATATCTGTCATCTAATTGAGTTTTATCTCATAATAGTATATGGGGTATATCCTCAGGAAATGTTGTTTACTGACAGGTTGCCTTTTCTTTACTTTTACAATACTCTGTGTTAGGCATCTTCTATGACATTTGCTTATCACTTATCTATAATTTCAGTTCTACCAAAAAACATCTCTCTAAGGTTTTAGGTAGAGTGACTAGATCTGACTCAATTCCATCCCCACCCCCCACCCCCAATAGTGAGCAATCTTTCTTCTATTCTAAGGGGACAGTAAAGAAAGCATAGGCAGCTAGGTGGCACAGTATTTAGAGCACTGGGCCTGAAATCAGTAAGACCTAAGTTCAAATTCTACCTCAGACACTTACTAGCTGTGTGACCCTGGGCAAGTCACTTGACCTCTCTTGTTCTTAATTTCCTCATCTATCAAATGGGGATAAAAATAACACCTACCGTACAGGATAGCTGTAAGAATCAAATGAAATAACATGTGTAAAGTGCTCTGCAAGTTTTATCAGGGATAATAGGCTAAGTGTAAGTTCCTATAACTGGTTCCTGGGTTGATTGGACTAGGCATTTCCTAAGGGGGCCTAATGACTAGGGCATTTTTCCCTACCCATTTTCTTGACCATCTGTCAGATAAATGGAGCACCTTCACCTTGCTGGTCACCAGGGAGGCTTATAGCCTCCCAGAAGAGCATTGCAGGGAGTGAAGTGTGCCCTACTGGCCGTAGAAACAGGCAGGCAATAGGTAAAATAGGCAGGCAGACTAGGTAAAAGAGAAAGTACAAGTAGGTCTGAGAGTCATGCATGTCTTTGGATTCACACACCATTCATAGTCTGCTAGAGTGAAAGGATCACATAAGTATTGCATACACTACAATATGTTTTTAGTGTGGATTCCTTCAGATATGGGTTGAACTAGCTAACCACTGAGATTCCTTCCCATTCTAAAATTCCCTGCTTCTAAAATAACATCTAATGAAATGGAACATCTAAATCCTGAAGGGGTATCAATTGGAAGTTCCTTTCCATTTCAGGGAATCTCTAGAAATAATGGAGAAGCCTGTGCAGTATTGTAGCTCAAATGAGAAAATGTCTCCAAAGTACTCCGCAAATCCTAAGGTGCCTTATAAATGTGATTGTTATTGTTGTTGCTACTTTTACATGAGCTACTAAGCTGGGGTAGATTATTTTTTTCAGCCAGAAATGGGAAAACCTTCTTGGGAGTTTTCTCTTCAACAGTTATTGATCTGGACACCCTTCTAGGTTTTGATGATATTGATTTTTTTTTTTTTTTTGGTTTGAACCTGTGAGCTTATCAAGACAGGAAACTCTCAGAGTGGAAATTCTCATCCACAAATGTAGCACTAAGACTCATCTTCATCTTCTAGTCTAAGGTAGTCTCCTAGGGCTCTCAGATGTTAAGTAATTTTTCCATGATTGCACAGTTTTTCAACCCGAGTCTTCCTTTTCTCCAAATCCAGTCCTCTGGCTGCAAGCCTCTGTGTTAGTGGCCTCTAACTCTTGAAGTAAACTGGGTCACATATGTCAATTATTCCCTGCCCTGTCTTCTTCACTTACACCTAAATGTGCACATCTTTATGCCTTCTGGATCACAAAAGAAGTCAAAGGTGGGCTTTGAGTTCAGAGCTTTTTTTAGTTATGTATGATTTTTTTATGATCCCATTTTGGGTTTTCTTGGTAAAGATATTGGAGTGGTTTGCCATTTTCTTCTCCAGCTCATTTTACAGATGAAGAAATTGAGACAAACAGGGTTTAGAGACTTACCCAGTGTCACACACAGCTAATAAGTGTCTGAGGCCAGATTTGAACTCAGGAAGATGAATCTTTTGGCTCCAGGCCCAGCACTCTATCCACTGTGCTACCTAACTGTCCTAAAGTGGGCTTAAATAAAAGCAAAATAGTGGGTGAATCAAAAGTATATTGAGGAAGGAGAAGCCACCTAGCTAGCATCTAAACTGTACATGTGTTCATAGTGATTAGTAGAATTAAATGGATAAAATGACTGACAACTTTTCTCATATTTCAGGCTTGCGGTCACTAGGAATGACACTCACTCAGTGTTACGAAGAGGTTGGCCTGCTGCTCCTGTTTCTGTCTGTGGGCATTTCAATATTTTCAACTGTGGAATATTTTGCTGAACAAAGCATGCCAGGCACAACCTTCACAAGTGTGCCTTGTGCATGGTGGTGGGCAACAACATCCATGACTACTGTGGGTTATGGTGACATTAGGCCAGACACCACCACAGGCAAAATTGTGGCCTTTGTGTGTATACTATCAGGAATACTTGTTTTGGCGTTGCCTATTGCTATTATTAATGACCGCTTTTCTGCCTGCTATTTCACTCTGAAGCTGAAGGAAGCAGCTATTCGACAACGTGAAGCCTTGAAGAAATTGACAAAGAATATAGCCACTGACTCCTATATCAGTGTTAACTTGAGAGATGTTTATGCCCGAAGTATCATGGAAATGCTCCGATTGAAAGGCAGAGAAAGAGCAAGTACTAGAAGCAGTGGGGGAGATGACTTCTGGTTTTAAATCCACTTCTATTATATTTTTTAAAAGCTTGTATGTTATTGGCAAGGTTAATGAAGTATTGATGTGTGTGTCTGCTAATGTTGAGATGATTATCTTGCAGCATTTACTGTTTTAATTTTTTCAACTTGTTTTCTTGGTGTATCAGAATATCTTATATCCCCAAAGGCAAACAGAATTTTCAGGGTGACACTAGAGCTATTTTTCATTTTTAGATTTCAAAACAGCCAAAGCAAATAATACATCAAAACGAAACCATTCCAATGACAAACGTATGGCAGGTTTCTAATGTGCAGTGACAAAACTATGACATGGAGAGCATTAGGGAAGTGATTATGCCTTCAAGCTCAATTTATAAAGGAAAGGTAATTGAGAAAAAAAAATTTCAAAACACAAAAGATGGGTAAAAGTTTATTTCCATATAGATTACCTTTTTTGTACTCAATTGCATTACCCTAGGGAAAAAAATTACTTTGACAATTAGTAAGAGACTGTTGCTAATATGAACACACTCATAGACTCAATCCCTGAATGGGTCAATTAGCTTTGAACTAAGAAAAAGTTGATTTTCTATTTGCAGATTGACCTTTCATTCTCATAAAATGCCCTGATGAAATAAGTAGGATAGGTCACAAATTAAATGGACAGGTGACTCTGGATGGTTACTGTAATACATCATCCTAATTCGGGGGTTGGAGGTGGGGGAGAAAGACAATGATATAGGGTCAGGTATGTGGAATGCAGACTACTTACAATGCAGTATTAGGGTTCAGATGATAGCTTTCCCACCTTAAGGAATGAAATATATTCATCTTTGACAACTGATATAGTACTCTATGGATTCACTATGGGTAATATAATTACTAAGGCAGTTTGCTTGATAGTATCCCAGGTAGATTTTATCCTCTAGGGGTGCCTGGTTGACTATGGATGTCTTTGATTTCTTCTTTGATTCAGTGAATGTTTGAGGATTACATTATGAACAAATTATAAATTCAGCATTTTAATTATTAAATGACCTTATTTCAGCCAATGAAGGGGTATATTTGATTAACTCAGTAGACTCAGTAGTCATTCATTGATTCAATTATATTCTGTACATTTCTGTCATAGTCACAGTAAATTTTCAATTAAAGTTTTGAGGTTGACTGGAAGGCAAGAAAAATCAATCACCCATCTTGAGAATCAACAGTACTTGGTCTGTCGTATTATAGCATTAACATCCAATACTATCAAGTTATTAGGCAGAAAAATCAATAAAATAAAATCCTTTATCAGAGGGATAGGGATGGATCTATCATTTCATCAATATAGAGAACTCCCAGGTGAGGAAGCTCCCTGTAGCACTGTAGTCATCACCTTCTCTGCAATTTATTATACTCTTAGTTGCCTAAAGCACGGAGAGATTAAGTTATTTGCTCTGAGTCACAAAAGCAGTATGGTTAGAGACAGGACATAAACCTCGGCCAGCTCTCTAACCACAATGCCACCCAGAGGTAAATGAGATCTATGGAGATTTCGTGGTAAGTGCCATACCTATTTATTAATCCTGAATCCAGGGAATAAATTCTAACCCAGGAAGAACATATACTTGCTTCTTAAAAACGATATTAATTTCTAGAGATCTGGTACCATAATAAATTATCATTTTTCCCTAAGAAAATGTCAAGCTTTAAAATAAATTTTAACTAATAATTGTTTTAAACTAGAAAGGGGAATTAATAATAGGAATGATACATTTTTCATATTTATGCTGGTTTTCTGGACTATTTTTCTATATCCAAACCTTTATATTCAGGATTTGTGCTTGTATAATATGAACAAAAACTAAATTAATTACAACAGAAAGGGAGCCAGTGTCATATTCAGAGCATTGACAATAACAATGAGAAAGTCTAGATGTTGTACTTTGAAGCTTTAACAAGATATTCTATATCTCTAAGCAGATGATTCTCAGATTTATTTATCCAGCCTTAACCAATTAAAGAAAAGAAGAAGAAATAAAATGATTTCTCCTGACCTCCAGTCTTGCAGCTCCAATTGACTCTTGTACATCTCAAACATGAAGTCCCATAGACACCTCAAACTCAACATGTCCAAAACTGAATTATCTTCCCTCCCCCAACTCCTCCCCCCTTCTTAACTCTTGCCTTTTCTCCTCTGATGCTTCTACTACCCTCAGACAGCCTTTCATCACTTCATACCAGGACTATTGCAATAGCCTTGTGGTTGGTCTCACCATTTCTCCCCACTCTAGTCCATCTTCCACTCAACTGTCAAATTGATCGTTCTAAAGGCAGGTCTGACCCCATCACCACTTCTGTTCATATTCTTCCAGTAGCTCCCTATTGCTTACAGGATCAAATATAAAATCTTCTCTTTGACTTCTAAAGTCCTTCATAAGCTGGCCCCTTTTTACCTTTCAAGTTTTCTTACACCTTACTTCCCTCCATGCACTTAGGGATATAGTGAATTTGGCTTCCTTACTCTTCCTCACACAAGACATTCCATCTCCTGACTCCATGCCTTGCCACTGGCTGATCCACATGCCTGAAATTCTCTCTCCTCATCTCTTCCTCTTGGCTTCTCTGGCTTCCTTCAAGTTTTAGCTGACATTTCACCTTCTACAGGAAACCTTTTCTGGTCCCCTTTAATGCTAATGTGTTCCACCTGATTATCTGCAATTTACCTTGTATATATCTTGTTGGCACATTTTAGTTTGCATGTCATCTCCCCCATTAGACTTTGTGCTCTTTGAGAGCAGAGACTCTTTAAATCCCTTGCCCTTAGTACAGTGGCTGACACATAGTAGGTGTTTAATAAATTTTTCTTGACTATTCTGGTGATAAATAAACCATTCAGTTTCAATTCATTTAGATAAGTATTTACTTAACATTGTTGTGTACAAGACATTGGTGATGTGAAGCCAAAAACAAAAGTGTCTTCCCTCAAGGGCAATATACATATACATATACATATATATATATATATATACACATAATTATATGCATATATATACTAATCTGTGTTCATGATGCTTCCCAACAGTAAAATATAAGTTCCTTGAGAGCAGAAACTATTTTGTTTCTATATAACACCTCCTACACTATACAGCTACATTCATACACACAGACATACATACACACACACAAACACATACACACACACACACACACACACACTTTATATACCCTTGCTTTCTTTAAAGATATATATAACTAGGGGCATCAGGAAGGTCTTCATGTAAGAGCTGATACTTTCGCTTCTTTTTAAAGTAAGCTGGGGATTCTGGGAGGTAGGGTAAGGAGGAAGTGTGTGTAAACCAGTCTAGCAAAATAGGCTGGGGCCAGGTTGTATGTGGCTTTTATTGCCATGGGGGGGGCGGGGAGGGCAGGGATTATATTTTATCCTAAAGACAATAGGGAACCACTGAAATATCTTTTGTACTCTAATACAACACAAAACTTGCAAGCCTTTTTCAAATTACTTAATCTTCTGAATTGCTCTTCAATAAAGTTATTACCCTAAAAAATATATCCATTAATATAATTCTGAAATGCTACTTCAGATATTCTGAATCAGATCCATGAAAATAATGACTATGTATACTCCTGGGCAGGGCAGGGTATGCGGTGTATCATCTTAGATATTTCTCTGCCTACTCCTCCCCTCAAAATGTTCATTGTCCTTTTTGATCAAATTTATGCCTGGAGAAAGAATACCAGACAGAGACAGTTTTAAACAAGGGTGTGTATTCAGTGTCTGGGGCAGCTAGGTGGTACAGTAGGTAGAGTGCAGCACCTGGAGTCAGGAAGACTAATATTCCTGAGTTCAAATCTGGTCTCAGACAATTACTAGCTGTGTGACCCTAGACAAGTTACTTAACCTTGTTTGACTCAGTTCCTCATCTGTAAAATGAGCTGGAGAAGGAAATGGCAAACCATTCTAGTATCTTTGCCAAGAAAACCCCAAATGAGGTCATTAAGAGGTGGACAGACTGAAAGAAAGGAACAATAACGACAACATGTGTGATTGAAAATTTCTAAGAGACAAAATTTCTGGGTAATTATAATCAATTTTTTTTACTATATCTAGAAAGCAATCAACAAAACAAGCTCACTGTCCCTCAAAGAGAGAGAGTCTGTTGAACCTTCGGTATTTATAAAGTCTTTTGAAAAGGGGGTACACTTGAGTATGGAAATTAGCTCTGACTGCTTAATAAATAATGAGAGAATGAATATTATAATGAGAGGTGTGCTTATTCCAATGAGAGCCTTGAGGTACATGACACTGAGCACCCAAATCTTGGTCAAACAGATTTATCAACATCCATATCACTGTCTGTCAAAAGGGAGAATCCACATTTTCCCAGACCTGTCCAAGTAAACACAATGAGCAAGGAGTCTACCCATTCACCTAAACTTAGAATTTCTTTACTGTCTTTGATTAGATCTTAGCTTTCCTGGCTGGTTAAGTCTTTGAGCAAGATTTCCATATGCATTGATTTCTGGGTGAGGAAGTAGAAAAGGGGAAAAACCTTGGTCCTAATCCAATAATTAGATATTAAATACAAGAGAGAAATAATTATTTCTCTCAAACAACAATCCATTGTATCCACTGCCAGACCTTCTTTGAGAGATGTGTCCTTAAATTGAATGTATATAGAACATACTATACCACATGGCACCTGTGGGCTTATCCTTATGAGTCAGGAGCCATCCTATCTTGCTACTTTCCAAATAGTTTGTGATTTCTCTGCCCCTACAGCCTTTATGTGATGGAAGATTCCTTTGCCCCTGTGACTCAATTGTTCATTACCCGCTGGAACTTCCATTTTTAGGAACAAGCCAACCACATTCACTCTTTTTCCTCTCTGCCTCTGCTTCTGCTCCTGACTTTCTCCTGACTTTTTCTCTGCTATGTCCCAGCAACTTTCTCACACTAGGAGCTGCCTTGCAACTGTGCTCTTCAAGGCCTCCAGTTGTCCCTGCTTTTCTATTCCT